TTCTACTTCTTTTCCGTCTAGACCATCAAGTTGTCGCCTCCTCCGTCATCTTAGCGACCACCTTGACTCGTCTTCTTATTCAAAATCACATGATACAGTCATGAATTATGGTCCACTTCTTCCTAAATCATTGTAAGGTTAAGATTTCTTTCACACTGATCAAGGGAAAACATGAAACTATTTCATCAGTTCTTTCCAAAGTTCCAGATTACAAAACAATCATCCCCATGTCTCACATACAGTTTACGCTTTTTCTATAATTATAATATACATGAATTAATCAAAACTTTCTACATCCATTTATATTTTGTATTTTCTCTCAACGAGTATGTATAACGTAAATAAAAAAACTTGAGGCTTTTGCAAGAATGAGTCCCAACCAAAACGATGTTCGTCATGGGGTACGACGGACGAAAGTTCAGGCCATCTTCATCATGTACTTCCATACGAATTGGAGGTTGTCATGTCAATACTTCAAGAGCGCCTGAGATGATGAAGTGCGGCGCTGGCAAACGAGTTGCCAAGCCTATTTTGCAGCTAATTGCTGCCAACAACATCAACAAACGAAACTAAACTTTCGTTTAAGACTTAAACTTGTTCACTGCTGATCCGAGTTAATTGAAGAGCGAAAGTGATCCTTCATTGTCACATGATCACATTCATGCGCGAGAAATATTTAAATTCATTAAAATTATGCTTAAGTATTCTATAATTCAGGACTTAACGGACTCCAACTATTATACAAATCAAAACTCACTACTTATGAGTAGATCACCAACAGCCTATATTCAACTGTCTTATTCCTGAAGATATTAATATCAAGATGTTGTGACCTCTGATATGGTCGCAGTTTCCTTTCGATGTATAAAAGTGGGTTGACCTCGCTGTCGCAACTTGGTGGTATTCTCAGGGTGACTGAGTAAAACGCACCTTGTCCGAAGTCGTCTGCCAGATTATTTGTCATGACCCCCAGCATCAGACAGTGCGGAGAATGGAAAAAACTTACTGATGATGCCGGCGAAATGTTTGAGAATGT